ACAGTTACTTTCATTTACCTATGTTATTTCTATTTCATGTCACTTACTTTCATTGGTTGTATAGCATTGTTTTCTTAGTTTCAGATCTTGGTGCTTTTGTCGAGCCTCAATCGCAAGGTGTTCTCTAACCCTATTCATCTTTTTACTGTCCTTCATTGCACATTATATCTTTTTTGTTGCATTGAGGACAATGTATGATTCAAGTTGAGGGGGGGCGGTGTGGTGCATCATTTGCATGATACACCAATTTTGTGTGAATTTTTTGTGATACAAATTTTTGCTTGCATTAGTGAAAAGTATGTGAAAATTTTGAAAATTTTTGATGGAAAATATCTAATTGTTAACCTGTATTCCCTTATGAAGAGTGTGTGAGTTGAATGACATATTGATCGTTGTTGTGAACTTTGTGCACATGAGCATACTATGGAAATTGATCCTAGGCGTGAGTATCACATATGTATTGATTTTTAAACTGAAATGTATGTGACTTTTGAATGTGTAATTTCAGTAATTTTGAGATTGGATTCATGTTTTAAGCTTGAAATAAGTAGTGGAGATGAGTAAGGACCCATGAGAGTTTTAGTGCCAAACCTTTTTGGGAGGGAACTTACATTTACTCAAAGAACGATTTTTCAATGTCAAATTTGTTCAATAATCTCATTACACTTGTTTTTGTTAGGTGCATTTGGGATAGTAGGCTGACTTGTCTTGATTGTATTATGCCATTCCATGCGGACCTAGAAGTGATATTAGGCCATCCTTGAATATTTTGAGGCTTTGCCCTTTTTTCTTGAGAAATTAATTATCCCTAGTGCCATGTTTGAGCCTTGTTGAAAATTCATTTCTATGCCACACATTAAACCAAGCCAGTGAAAAATGAAAAATATCTACCTTACCTTGGTTGTTCCTAAAGCAAAAATGAGTGATTGCAAAAGAAGGAAGTGTGGTGTGGAAATTCAAGCAAGGGATGATGAATGTGAAACTCAAAGAGTTGGAAAAAAAAAAGGAGAATGAAAATTCAAGAAAATGAAGAAAAGGGGTGAGAAGATGAAAGAATGATCAAAATAAAAAGAAAATGTTAAGGAAAAGAAAGAAAAGAAACAAAGGGTGTTGTGATGGTGTAAGAATCAAAATCCCATGAAAAGGGAAGTATTTTTCTAAAATAAAAGTCTCTCACTCAGAACAACCCTCTTTGCTATCCTATATCCTTCATTTCATGTACCTAAGTATCTCCCCAAGGCCCCATTATAACCCTTAAAGTCCAAAGTGATCTAGAGAAGCATGGGAGGTGCATGATTTCAGAGGAATTGATGAGTTAAGTCTTACTGCCTAATGCCATAGCATTCCTTTCATGAGATTATGCCAAAGCCGCTTCATTTTCACATGTGCACTTCATTTTTGGATTACATGTGAGCACACTTTGTTTTGAATGCAAGATTCTATCTCACATGTACACATGCAGTGCATACCAGGATAACTTGAGTGTATTTCTTTGTTTAAGAGTGAACCTTGGTGAGTTTTGCATTGAAGCTGAATTTGGCTAGCTATTCGAGTGTAAATCCTATTGCAAAAATGTTCAAATTANAAAAGTTGGTTGTTTTTAGTGATAATGGGAGTAAGCTAAAGACGGTTGTGAGGGGAAAAGCAATTGAGGTGACCCCGAACTCAATAGCCACGGTGATGGGGTACATGAGACCTTCCCCCACCACTGAGGTCTACCCACAAAATGTGGAAAATGGTATGACTCTCAAGGACAACGTAGCCCTCACCTATGAGGACCTGACCACGTTCACATGAACAACATTGGTTGAGGGCCTCAAGCATGCATACGGGGTCATGAATAAAGTCCTCCATTATAATATGATACCCGGGGGTTCGGAGAAGAACCCAAACATTGAGAAGCTCGCATTACTGCATGCCTTTATGACGGGAGTTGCCATTGACGTGGCATATTACATTTGGTTGGAGAGGAGAGTGTTTGCCCAGGCTGCAAAGCCAAAGGCAAATCTCCCTTTTGGCAGCTTAGTCACCCGTCTCTATGATTAGGCTAAGGTAAAACACTATGCCCAAGATGTTCTCCTCCCCCCGGACACTGGAGCAATTGGGAAGTCCAACAACAGTAAGAGAGCTGCTAGTACTAGGAGAGAGAGAGATAGGACCCCGAGGCCACAACCATCAGAAGTTGGCGCACCTTCTTCAGCACCCCCACCACCTACACCTACTCTGGCTAGCACCATGTCGCAACACATGGATACTATAGAGTCAACTGTGTACGAGATGTTTGAGATGTTGATACAGTTAATCTAGTATACCTTCCTGGAGGACCACCACCGCAGCCTTTAGATGGTCCCTCCGCTTCCGTTCTCGTGCCCTCTACGACTGTGGAGGTGGGAGATGTTGATGATGATGAGGAAGAGTTAGAGTCGGAGTCCCAGTCCGAGACTGAGGACGAGGTTGTTTTCGACAGGGATGATGATGATTAGGGGGATTTTTGGTTTTTATTTTGACCTTTTGGTTGTACACAGCTAGGGTCTCTAGTATCGGCCTGTAGAAGTGTCACTAGTTTTGGTCGTTTCGTTTTGGGATTTGAACACATTGTAAAGAAATTTTTGAAGTGATCAATGGAAAAATACCACAGTTGTTACATTTACATCTCTGCCCAAGCTATTTCCTTAATTGCAACGTGATTTGTGGATCTTGAGTTGTTGTGATTTTTACTTGTATGACTGAATGAGTTCTATTTTAATTTTATAGCTATGCTTGGAAATAGTGTTTGCTATGGACTAGCAAAACTCAAGTTAGGGGGTGTGATTAGCACAAAAATATGACATATATTGTGTGCTAATATGCTTTTTGTACTTGTTTGTAGTCAAGAAATTGGGGAGAAATGTGCTTAACTTTTGTTTCGATGGAGTTTTGTGTGAATGCAGGTAAAACAATGTAAATGGCATGATTTATACCCCCATTGAAGTGGTTGAGGTCAATGAAGAAGAGGGGGGTAGCTTAAAGGAAGGTGTGGAGGGAGAAGAAACCAAGAAAATGGAATTGGGTTGAAGACCTTTCGGAAGGTGTTGCCATGGTTTTCTTTTTTTTTTTTTTCACTACCAAAACCTTTCGGAAGGTTTTATCCACTGGAATGAACCTTCTGGAATGTTTTGTCTACTGAAGGGAAACTTTTCGGAAGGTTTTGTCTACTGGAGTGAAACATTCCGGAAGGTTTTGTCTACTGGAGTGAACCTTCCGGAAGGTTTTTGCTAAACTTCCCAGACAACCTTTAACTCAATTTTACAGCTTGGGGGTCCCACTGGCACTACTCCATCAAGTCTCCTGACATTCCTTACACGTCCAGGAGGCCTCCCTCACCCCTACTTGGTCTTTATGATGCTTGGGCATTAATGAGGAGGAATGAGAAGAAGCTTGGGAGAGAGAAGAGTGGAGGCTGGTCCTAGTCTACATCATGCAGTCCCTATGGATGGAAATCACATCACTCAGTAGGAGAGAGGAGACTATGGACATTTTGGGAGGAAAAATGACTCCATTATTCAGCATTCTAGAATATACAGAGATATATAGAGAAAGAGTCTAGAGAAGACGATGAATAGTGTCTAGTGAGACAAAATTGAGATTTTTGCATTTCTTTCAATACATTGTCTTTTAATATCTGGNCAGAACAACCCTCTTTGCTATCCTATATCCTTCATTTCATGTACCTAAGTATCTCCCCAAGGCCCCATTATAACCCTTAAAGTCCAAAGTGATCTAGAGAAGCATGGGAGGTGCATGATTTCAGAGGAATTGATGAGTTAAGTCTTACTGCCTAATGCCATAGCATTCCTTTCATGAGATTATGCCAAAGCCGCTTCATTTTCACATGTGCACTTCATTTTTGGATTACATGTGAGCACACTTTGTTTTGAATGCAAGATTCTATCTCACATGTACACATGCAGTGCATACCAGGATAACTTGAGTGTATTTCTTTGTTTAAGAGTGAACCTTGGTGAGTTTTGCATTGAAGCTGAATTTGGCTAGCTATTCGAGTGTAAATCCTATTGCAAAAATGTTCAAATTACTTGTTTAATTAACACACACACGAGTTGAAAATGAATTTGTAGGTGCATACGTTGGACTAGTAATTGAGACTATGGTCTTACTTATGTGTGCTTTGTTAAATCATTTGAGAAATGTGTTAATTAGTTCCATACGTGCAAAATAGGGGAATATTGCTCAAGTTTTTTGATATTTAAGATGAATTAGGAATGCCCATGTTTTTAATTATGTGTTTTTCATTTTCAGTATTCATTATGGTAGTTTAAAGTAGAAATCCATGATTTGTACATTGAAAATATCAAAATCTTAAATCATGTTACAATTTCAAAAATGACTTTGGGCATGATTTGCCAATTGTGGTTCATAAGTGTGCTTCAAGTCCTTGGTAGAATAGGCGTCTGAGAAAGGGTGTAAGATGTGTTGGAATTGAGTTAGGATGGATTGGATGTGAATTTTTGAATAAATGATTGGTTTTGCAGCAAAGTCAAAACCTTCCGGAAGGTTTTACCTACTGGGTTTTTTTAAACAAAGGCAGTAAGCAAAACCTTCTGGAAGGTCGTTCAAAACCTTTTGAAAGATTTTACCTACTGGATTTTTTAAACAAAGGCAGTAAGCAAAACCTTTCGGAAGTTTTTGATCGACCTTTCAGAAGGTTTTGCCTAGAAAATTAAAAACGAGTGTTTTAAAGTCAAATAGTTTGGACAACCTTTCACATTTCCAATCCATCTCTTGCTCTCAAACCCTCGCCTCTCCTTCTACTCTCTTCTAACCTTCAAATTGCTTCCCCCAAATCTTAAAATTCTTACTTTCTCTTGATTTAGGTTCACTGTTAGGGTGTTTTATCCGAAAAAAAAAAACCAAGTGTTTTTCAAAACAAACCCTATAATTCCATTTCCCCTAAAATTCAGAATTTCTCTTTAATCTTTCCCAATCTCCTCAATTTCTTGGTGATGGCTCGTACAAGAATGATGTCCATGGAGGTAGTTGATGCCGTTGAGAGTGTGTGGAGGTTGTTTTCAGTGGCTCTTAGGTTGGGGTCACTATTGATGCTCCTGGCCCAGACCAAGAGCACTAGCCCCGGTGCTTCTCCACCCCCCTCTGGCTCCACATCCAAGAAGAGGACCGGTGAGGGTCCTAGCTCCCAAGATTAGGTAGAGCGGAGGACGAAGGCAAGACATGACGTCCGCAAGCAACGTATTGAGGAAAAAGGCGTGACTTGTGAACGCTATGTGGATAGAGGTTTGTTTGGGCCTAAGAACAAGGTGGTGCAAATTATTGAACAACGGGGGTTGAATTTGTGGTTTGAGGAGGTCAAGGGGTACAATTTAGGGATGTGTCATGAGTTTTACTAAAAGTTGGTTGTTTTTAGTGATAATGGGAGTAAGCTAAAGACGGTTGTGAGGGGAAAAGCAATTGAGGTGACCCCGAACTCAATAGCCACGGTGATGGGGTACATGAGACCTTCCCCCACCACTGAGGTCTACCCACAAAATGTGGAAAATGGTATGACTCTCAAGGACAACGTAGCCCTCACCTATGAGGACCTGACCACGTTCACATGAACAACATTGGTTGAGGGCCTCAAGCATGCATACGGGGTCATGAATAAAGTCCTCCATTATAATATGATACCCGGGGGTTCGGAGAAGAACCCAAACATTGAGAAGCTCGCATTACTGCATGCCTTTATGACGGGAGTTGCCATTGACGTGGCATATTACATTTGGTTGGAGAGGAGAGTGTTTGCCCAGGCTGCAAAGCCAAAGGCAAATCTCCCTTTTGGCAGCTTAGTCACCCGTCTCTATGATTAGGCTAAGGTAAAACACTATGCCCAAGATGTTCTCCTCCCCCCGGACACTGGAGCAATTGGGAAGTCCAACAACAGTAAGAGAGCTGCTAGTACTAGGAGAGAGAGAGATAGGACCCCGAGGCCACAACCATCAGAAGTTGGCGCACCTTCTTCAGCACCCCCACCACCTACACCTACTCTGGCTAGCACCATGTCGCAACACATGGATACTATAGAGTCAACTGTGTACGAGATGTTTGAGATGTTGATACAGTTAATCTAGTATACCTTCCTGGAGGACCACCACCGCAGCCTTTAGATGGTCCCTCCGCTTCCGTTCTCGTGCCCTCTACGACTGTGGAGGTGGGAGATGTTGATGATGATGAGGAAGAGTTAGAGTCGGAGTCCCAGTCCGAGACTGAGGACGAGGTTGTTTTCGACAGGGATGATGATGATTAGGGGGATTTTTGGTTTTTATTTTGACCTTTTGGTTGTACACAGCTAGGGTCTCTAGTATCGGCCTGTAGAAGTGTCACTAGTTTTGGTCGTTTCGTTTTGGGATTTGAACACATTGTAAAGAAATTTTTGAAGTGATCAATGGAAAAATACCACAGTTGTTACATTTACATCTCTGCCCAAGCTATTTCCTTAATTGCAACGTGATTTGTGGATCTTGAGTTGTTGTGATTTTTACTTGTATGACTGAATGAGTTCTATTTTAATTTTATAGCTATGCTTGGAAATAGTGTTTGCTATGGACTAGCAAAACTCAAGTTAGGGGGTGTGATTAGCACAAAAATATGACATATATTGTGTGCTAATATGCTTTTTGTACTTGTTTGTAGTCAAGAAATTGGGGAGAAATGTGCTTAACTTTTGTTTCGATGGAGTTTTGTGTGAATGCAGGTAAAACAATGTAAATGGCATGATTTATACCCCCATTGAAGTGGTTGAGGTCAATGAAGAAGAGGGGGGTAGCTTAAAGGAAGGTGTGGAGGGAGAAGAAACCAAGAAAATGGAATTGGGTTGAAGACCTTTCGGAAGGTGTTGCCATGGTTTTCTTTTTTTTTTTTTTCACTACCAAAACCTTTCGGAAGGTTTTATCCACTGGAATGAACCTTCTGGAATGTTTTGTCTACTGAAGGGAAACTTTTCGGAAGGTTTTGTCTACTGGAGTGAAACATTCCGGAAGGTTTTGTCTACTGGAGTGAACCTTCCGGAAGGTTTTTGCTAAACTTCCCAGACAACCTTTAACTCAATTTTACAGCTTGGGGGTCCCACTGGCACTACTCCATCAAGTCTCCTGACATTCCTTACACGTCCAGGAGGCCTCCCTCACCCCTACTTGGTCTTTATGATGCTTGGGCATTAATGAGGAGGAATGAGAAGAAGCTTGGGAGAGAGAAGAGTGGAGGCTGGTCCTAGTCTACATCATGCAGTCCCTATGGATGGAAATCACATCACTCAGTAGGAGAGAGGAGACTATGGACATTTTGGGAGGAAAAATGACTCCATTATTCAGCATTCTAGAATATACAGAGATATATAGAGAAAGAGTCTAGAGAAGACGATGAATAGTGTCTAGTGAGACAAAATTGAGATTTTTGCATTTCTTTCAATACATTGTCTTTTAATATCTGGTATGAATATGTAGAACTTCATTTAATGTCATTAACGTTGTTTTCTTTCAAGTTCAATGCAAGTTTAATGCTCTTTTAAAGCTTTCACCATTAATGTATCAAGGTTCTTCATTTTCTTAGTTTTCAAATGGGTATTCAATATACTCTCTTATAGCGTATGTTTTGTAGTATCTGGTTACTCTAGAACTTCAAATATTTGCAATGCATTGCCATTACATTGTCAATTTCATTTTAAGCATGAGTAGGTAAATCTTTTACTTGGCAAAACCAAGGGGAACCTTAACTTGGGTATACCATTTCAACTCATTCTCCTCCCTTCTTTCAGAGTTCAATGGTTCGGTTTGGCTGGGTTGAGGGTGGATAAGTGGCGAGTCTTTGATATTCCATAGGTCTTGTCACGGTTTATACTTAGATACTCACCAATCTTATCCCTAGCTTCCCATGAATCAATAGTTCATTCATACTCTAAAGGAGGAGGGTTTCGAGTTGACACGGTATTCCTATTGTAGTGACCTCTTGGATTTGCCAACATTTGTTCCTCATTTTATTTGCATCAAAACAAACTTCACCAAACAATTTCCAACAACTAAAGATTTTACACTTTCTTTTTACCAAAATCACCTTCCCCTTGGTTTACTTCCTTCCCCGTGGAAACGACCTTGGAGTACCACCAAGTAAAACACGACCCGCAAAACTCTCCTTGCGCTTGGGGAGCACTTTTCTACACACACACACACATTTGTTGTGCATTTACACATCACATTACCATCATCTCATTTACACCCATCTCCTTGCCCTTTCTTTTGACATCACCCATAGGAGAGTGACACTCCCCTTCGTCCATATACTATATATGCTAAAAGGTGATGCTTAGAGGTTAAGAAACAACAAGTAATTTTGTCAAGCACCCCCTACTTGAGTGGCATGTGGTCTATGTGATGGTTACTACCATACGTCTTGAACAACTCTGGCCTTGCACTCAGCAACTTGGTCCTCAGTAACTCATGAAAATGTTCGAATGCGGAGTGGCGTTCAAACGTTGTGCTCAAGTACTTCTGTGGTTCTCCTGTCTTTGCTGCAACACTCTAGTAGGTCTCAGTAGTCTAATCTGCTCAGGTTTCCAAAGCACGTTCGAATGTGAGTGGGCGTTCGAACATGGTACTCAAGTACCTCAACATTTTCCCTTTTTGATTGCAACACATCATGTCTCAGCAGCTTGGTCCTCAATCACTCAGGGGAATGTTTGAACGTTGATCCACGTTCGAACATTCTTGCTTTGTGCCAAGCTATTCCAATTTTACTCCTTTGTCCACTAGTGTTACATCCAAGTGTGATATTTGTTGTCCTTGAGCTCTTGTTCACTTTAGGACCTACAATGTCATTACTTAAACTCCCTCAAAGCACAATTAGTCCCAAAAAGGCATAGTAAAATGCTAACTTTAAGCACTAATTAAGTTACAATCTTGAAGCATTAACGTTTGCTAATTACAACAAAATACGTTAGGATCAATATATAAGGAATTAAAGTAGGGGTTCTTTCTCAGATTCATTAATTGATGATTGAAGTTATATAATATATCTTTTTCATGCTTATTATGATATAAATAATTGATCTACAATGTTTTTACATTCATTTGAATACATGATTGACTTGAACAAAATACATGATTTGTTTCCAAGAATATCCATTCTTGATTTAAAAAACTAATTCTTGACTCCTATTCTATATACATGAAAGATCTACAATGTTTTGACATTCCTTTTTAAATAAATATTTTAATTCTTAAATAAACACATGATTTACATCCAAATACATATTTTTCATCCAATATTTGTGACCATGAATTCTTGTTTTTATGATCTCTTGCATGTTTTGCTTGATTGTTCTTTTACTTGAAAATTGTGGAACTATGGATTATGGTATACATGAATTTTATGAAAGATTGTTGTTATTATCTCTTGTATGGGTGGGTATGATAAATGTGGATTACACTTGAATTCGTATCATAGAGTGTTAGAAGTTTTTCTACCTTAAAGAGTTTTGTGGTTGCCTAACACTCGTAAGGGGTTTGGTTTCTTGAGAGGGCCAACCACTATTTATCCACATAGGTTCGAGGCTGGGAGCTAGTATATTATTTCTATGGAAGGATACGTCAATGATAATGCGTCAGTACATGCCCTTCCTAAAGTGTTGCAAGTGTTGTGGCCTTGCAGGATTGATTTGAAATGGATTTTGTTTATGAGTAGACAAGATAGGTTCGGTATGTAGATTCATGGTAGTCTACTTATGTATATGAAAGATTATGTTTTGAGATTTGATTTTGTGAATGATTCTATTCTATTATGAACTTTACTATTTTATATTGTCAACTTGAGATCGTTATTAAATGTCACTATTTTACTTCACAAGCTATATATTTATTTTACAAAGTGAGGCTTGCCTATTTTTCATGATTTTTAATCCTTAATTGGGTTTGAGATGGTTTGCCTATTGTGCTTTTTGCTCACCCTACCATAAGATTTTTTCAAATTTTGGACTTAAGGATGATACAATCTTAGAAAAGTAGGTTGACGCTGAGGTGGCAGCAGATCAAGATCTAGACCTGGATGTTGATACTTAAAGAGTGCCTTTGTAGTTTAAATTTATGAAATTTAGTTATGAATATTTTCCTATTTAGTTAATTGAAAGACTATTG